GGCTTTGCTCCCGGTGCCTCTGGTCTGCTGGGGACCGTCTCCAGCAGACCAGGGACACCGGGAGCAAAGGAGGCGGAGGGGCGCTGGGGTATAAGACGAAACCCTATCTTTTAACTAAAAAATTAGGGGGTCGTCTTATACGCCCAGTCACCTTATACGCCGGAAAATACGGTAGTTACTCTGGTGTAGTAGAATACAGACAAATTGCACATAAATAATAGGCCACACTTATCTTTAAATAATAATGGTTACAGCAGGTTAAAAGTTTTTCGTTTAACTTTTTTTGTGCCAGAAAACTGTTTTTTTTTTTTACTAAATGAACAATTTCATAAAGTCTAGTCTTCCAAAAAATTAATTTCCATCAGAAAACCAAAAACTAAATAAATTAGATTTCCAGCATTTTTCGTCCAAAAATTTCAGTTACCAAGGTTTTTTTAATATGAAAGAAAAAAGCTAAAGTTTCCCCATAGACATCCCCATTTCTGACCAGCTCTAACAGCTGTAATGGAAATTACTGGTTGTGATTTGAGTCTTATGACAAGCATTCAAATAACAGCAAACAGATCTTGAAGTTTGAACCACAGTTCATACTACTGTGACTGTCTTGGCTTTTACTGCTGAATGATCACTGCTTCAGATCAGCTCCCAGGCTATTATGACCATTATTGGAGAAAGCATAGTAGCAACCTGGCCTAACCTTGACATTTTTCATAAGCACAGTTGTAGAAATCTGTGCTGTTGAATACAAATTTTGCACAATGTATATTAATGCACCAGCTAATGAGACAGACTTAAAACAAAAAAAGGGCGGGGAGCAATGCTCTTGTACAGCACAATGTTTTTGGCATTGTTTTATCCAACTATCCCTTTTAAAGTGTCTAGTTAAACAGAGGTTCCAGTGTTACTACCTCATGGAGCCACAAATGCTAACACGTGATTAACGCCTTTGGGCTCTACTGCCTGACTCCTTATGCAGTCATATACATCTGTGGAAAGCACATGCAAAAAGGATGTAAAATGCTACCAAGTCAAAATAGCACTGCCATAGTGTGCAATAGTGTCTGTGAATGATTACACAAGGGACAAAGAAATTCAGGTCTATTCATCACAACAGGATAGTTCACATGAGTAAAGTTTATGCATGTGCATAAATGTTTGCATCATGGAGTCTATTCTGGTCTTCTGATTTAGAACAAATAAATGTAGGCATGTGATTATGAATATATCAGCCAATTCAGCCATCAATTCAAGTATAGTTTGTTTATTATAACTCTTTCACCCAGCTATTGTCTATAGGGAAAGCAAATTGGATTTTTTTTTAATGAGTTGACATAGTTCAACATGACATGTATTATTTAAAATGTTTTCCTTTACTGGGTGGAAATTGTCATTCAAATGGTATCTGAACCACTTATCCATTATGAAAATTTTTTTATTACTCACCTCTATTTTTATCAGTTTTAACAGAGCACGGTTCTACCAACCTCCTGCCTGGCTCATTCCAGAGATACAGGTTATTACAATGCAATTTCAATGTTCTTTGAAGGTCCACATGGCTCACTTCAGATTCATAAGTGCTGACAGCTAAGAGGAAGAATAAAGGACAAAGTTGGAGGGTAAACAATACCACCATGTGCTTAACGGGACCTGTAAATCAGGACTTTTTGAAACAGTTTGTTAAAACCACGGATTTCAAAAAACAAACACTAAATTTGAGTACAAGCAGTCCCCGGGTTACGTACAAGATAGGGACTGTAGGTTTGTTCTTAAGTTGAATCTGTATGTAAGTCGGAACTGGCGTCCAGATTCAGCCGCTGCTGAAACTGATCAGTTTCAACAGCGCTCCACCCAACATCTGAAATGGCACTCCTGAGCCCACGTATCTGCTTTTTACACAGCTCCCTCCAGCTTTCTTCCTCAGTGCTCTTTAGGAATGGAACTTTTGTCCTGATCTGATCTGTAAGGACTTTGCCCTCTCTTCCTTCAGATCCCCTCCAAAAATACACTTAATCTGTGACAAGAAATTGTCCAGTTAATGCTGAATAGACTGAGAAACAATCAGGTATATTTAATGTGCACTTGTTTAATAATTATAATAGCTGCTTCTACCCCCACGACCAGGATATGGACAATGTGTATAAAAATGATCCCCATTTATATTGTATCCTCCTCTCCTCCTTTGGTATGTTGCCTGTCAGTTGGACTGTAAGTTATTCCAGGGCAAGGACTGTTTTTCCGAGGCCTGGGGACATTGCGTAGCACATTGTAGATGCTACCTTAATTGCAATTACAAAGATTAGTAATGTCACTTTGGGGCCATAAGAGGAATTACAGGCAGTCCCCGAGTTACGCAGTTACGTTGGATCCGCAGTTACGAATGGGGCCGTCTCCCTGGTCTCCAGCAGACCAGGGAGAGGAAGCAAAGCGGCGGAGCACGCGGGCAGCGGACAGCCCAGACGCGTCTGGGCTGTCCGCTGCCCGCGTGCTCCGCCGCTTTGCTTCCTCTCCCTGGTCTGCTGGAGACCAGGGAGACGGCCCCATTCGTAACTGCGGATCCAACGTAACTGCGTAACTCGGGGACTGCCTGTAATTCCTCTTATGGCCCCAAAGTGACATTACTAATCTTTGTAATTGCAATTAAGGTAGCATCTACAATGTGCTACGCAATGTCCCCAGGCCTCGGAAAAACAGTCCTTGCCCTGGAATAACTTACAGTCCAACTGACAGGCAACATACCAAAGGAGGAGAGGAGGATACAATATAAATGGGGATCATTTTTATACACATTGTCCATATCCTGGTCGTGGGGGTAGAAGCAGCTATTATAATTATTAAACAAGTGCACATTAAATATACCTGATTGTTTCTCAGTCTATTCAGCATTAACTGGACAATTTCTTGTCACAGATTAAGTGTATTTTTGGAGGGGATCTGAAGGAAGAGAGGGCAAAGTCCTTACAGATCAGATCAGGACAAAAGTTCCATTCCTAAAGAGCACTGAGGAAGAAAGCTGGAGGGAGCTGTGTAAAAAGCAGATACGTGGGCTCAGGAGTGCCATTTCAGATGTTGGGTGGAGCGGGGGACCTGTGCATGCTATGATGGGGACAGTGAGTAAGAGCATGGGGGGTAGACTGAGGACAGCCGCTTCAGCAGTGTTACTGAGCAGCAAATCTGGGAAAAAGACCGACCCCATCTGCCCTCACACATACATGCATCACCTCTTTCCAAGAGCTTCTCAAATACTTGAAAACTATTTTGGCAGATAACTTAGCAATTAGCTGACAGGAGTACTGTATTTAATTCAAATATAAAAGAAAGAGAATTAAATAAATATTAGACTCATTTAGCTCTACTACTAACATATTCAAAAAACAGGACTATGTAGCACTTTAAAGACTAACAAGATGGTTTATTAGGTGATGAGCTTTTGTGTGCCAGACCCACTTCCTCAGATCACGAAAGCTCATCACCTAATAAACCAGCTTGTTAGTCTTTAAAGTGCTACATAGTCCTGGTTTTTTTTTTCCAGCTACACCAGACTAACACAGCTACATTTCTATCACTATTTAACATATTCAGACATCTTGTGACAGATCATTTATGGGACACCGGTTAGCCTTAAAATTTTAATATATATACTTACTTGTTACTAACACTGCGGAGAAAGAGAGAGAGAGATACTGTCAGGACGCCTGGACTCTATCTCAGGTCTGGGAAGAGAGTGGGGTCTAGTGGGTTACAGCAGGGGGCAGATACATTTGGGCTCTATATAAGAACATCAAAATGGCCATACTGGGTCAGACCAATGGTCCATCTAGCCCAGTGTCCTGTCTTCCAACAGTGGCCAAAGCCAAGTGCTTCGGAAGGCATGAACAGAACAGACAATCACCAAATGATCTCTCTCCAGTAGCCCGTTCCCAGCTTCTGGCAAACAAGCTAGAGACATCATCCCTGCTCATTCTGGCTAGAAGCCATCGATGGATCAATCATACTAGAACTTATTTTGTTCTTACCCGAACCCTGTTATCATCTGGGCCTCTCCATGATCTCCTGGCAGGTTGACCATGAAGAAATAATTTCTTTTCTTTTTTTTAAATCTGCTGCTCATAAATTTCATTGGGTGAACGTTTTGTGTTGTTAGTGAAGGAGTAAATAACATATCCTTAGTCTATTTTTTCATACCATTCATGATTTTTACACCTCTAACATATTCCCCCACCTCCAGCCTCCGGGGCTGGCCCCACACCCCATGGGCCCCAGACCACAACAGCAGTGAGGGTTCCAGGGCCAGACCTGGATCATGTGGGCCCCAGAAGCAGGGCCTCCCTCCGGGGTGGCCGAGTCAGCATGGTTGTGGCCATTGCTGCAAGAGGGCATGAAGCCAGGTAAGGTCCCCCCTCATGCCCAGACTCCCCCCACCTTAATCCCCTCACTACCCCCCAAGACCCAGCACCCCCAGCTTGCTCTGACTCCCTCCCTTGTTCCTGCACCCTCTCTCCTGGCCAGACACCCCACCCTGCTCCTTCATCCACATTGCTCCTGCACCCTCTCCCTGGGCCACACACTGCACCCTCCCTTGCTCCTGCTCTCTCCACCTGGCCAGACACCCTACTCCTAGCCTGCTTCTGCACCCTTCCCCCCACCCGGACCTTGCAACTTCTCCCTCTTCTGCACCCACATCCCTCCCAGAACCTACATCCCTATCGTACTTGCTGGCAGCCCTACCCTGCACACTGAACCCCACATTTTTGTCCCCACCCCAGAGCCTAAGGGGTCCATAAAATCTACTAATTCTGCAACCCCAGAAAAGTAAATCTGTCTATGGGAAGCCCTGAACCTCAGTCCTCCACTTCCCTTCCCCTCACCCCATGAGGCTGGGGTACTAGAGGAATGAGATTTCTCAGTTGGGGCCATATCACTGAGTGCTGGGGGGGTTTAAGAGTAGTTTTTTTACTTCTCACTTGTGTAGTCCCCAACTGATTTTTCTGTGGATCTGTGATCACCAACCCAAAAAAGGTTCCCCATGCCTGCCATAAATAAAGAAAACATTGAAACCTTTTGTGGTGGACATAATATTTTAATGTATTTAAAATGAAGTTTTTTAAACTTACATGAGAAAGTTAAAACTCTTAATCTGTTTCATAATTTAAATTAAACCACTGTCACTAGCTGCAGCTGGTTCAGAAAATAAGGCCGCCATACCCAGCCTATCCATACCTCACTTCCCACACAGATCCATGCATAAATTAAATCTCCGTACGCTACTCCTGAAAGGTTGCTGACCCATGCACTAATAGGTAAGAGCTGCATCTTAATTTATTTATTAATGAAGCTGCTGTAAGTAGGACTATTATTGACTTTAAAAAGTATAAATGGCACTCGAACCCGTACATAAAGGCGAATAAGTCAAATCTCAGCATTCCACCTCTGAAAGTTGCTGATCCCTGAGCTAGAGCATGTGCTTTAAGCAGACCTTAGGTTTGAAATCTAGTGGTTCAAACTTTAAAGAAGGGCTACAGACCCTTCCAGTCCCTCATAAATGGTGCCCTTGCATGGGCTATCAAAGCGAGTGGAGTGGAGGGAATACAAAGTTGTGTCTACAATTAGCAGTTTTCACTCTCCACTGTTGCAACAGTGGGGAACTAGTACAAACATGACACTGAGGCTCTGTCTAGACTATGGAGTTTTTCCGGTACAGGCAGTCCCCGGGTTACGTACAAGATAGGGACTGTAGGTTTGTTCTTAAGTTGAATCTGTATGTAAGTCGGAACTGGCATCCAGATTCAGCCGCTGCTGAAACTGATCAGTTTCAACAGC